TTGGGGAAATCTGCTATACAAGAACCCCAAATGTAAACTACCAGTGTTTTACCACCATCATATACATCTGACCACTAAAACCTAGCAGGATCCTCTTGCCCTGCTTGTTAGCTTCCCCAGGACCAATCCACCAGAGGACAGGATGCTAAGTGAACAACTCCTCAGACCCCAAATGCTAATTCCTAATTTCTCATAATAATGAGTATTATGCACCAATCAAACTGTGATCAGTCAGTGATGGGGAGGAAAATGCACATTTAACATCCCTGAAGGCACCAATATCACCACCCCATCAGCTGCCTGATTTTGCTGTCTTAAGACAGGTCCTGCTGGGTCAGATCAAAAACTTACTTTTCTGAGAGTAGTCAACCAGATGCGCACAAATAAACATGAAGGAAACAATTCACTCTTGTGGTTATTCCTCAGTGATTGCTATGCAGAGGCATTCTGCCTTTAATACTCTTATCCTCTGTGGATTAATTTAATGTCTTTTAAAGTCATCTAAGTTGATGGCCATCAGCATATCATGTGGCAGTGAATTCCTTAGTTTAACAATTCACTGTACAAAGTAGTACTTCTTTTGGTCTGTCCTAAATCTCCCAGCATTCAGCTTCATTGGATGATCTTGAGTCCTAGAATTAAGAAAGCAGGAGAAAAGCCTCTCCCACCATGCATAATATAACTCACAACTGTTGAATGTTGTGTTCTTCAACCCTTCTTCCAAAGAGATGGTGGCATTTGGGGGAGTCAGTGTTGTCCATGAATGAGCATCAAGCCTAATAGCCACTGCAGAAGAGAGAGAACAGAACAGAAAGCAAAAATGGCTTGAAGAAGGATTCTAGCTACTTGGTGTAGAGTTTTGGAACAATCTCTCTGGAACCATGGTGGCTAGAGAGAATTTTCTTTACATTCAAAACAAAGAGAGTTTGCTCTTGCAACCAAGTCTGGGATCTTTTGGATAGAAAAGCAGTATAAAGGACCAACAGGATACCAGCAATCAGGGAAACAGTTAAGCGTTCCCCTCTCCTGCCCCTTTAATGTGCCCATTTTCCCTTGCTGAAGCTGCTTTTAATTTAAAAGAACAGTGCTGGATCCCTTGTTATATGCATTTACATGCAACATATCCTCACTTGACCTTAAGAGCACAGTCAGGCAATACTTTTATTAGGGCCAAACAAGTGTGCACAAAGCTGTAGGCAAGCTTTTGAGATCTCCAGGTCTCTTCTTTGGGTAGGTTTGAGGAGAAGAAAGAGGCAGTGGGGAACGGCTGACTTGTTAATGACTTCATGAAGTTTGTATGCCTAAAGATGGAGAGGAGGAGGAGGTGCAAGCTTCAATAGATTAGACTCTGTGGAGTGGCATGCAGGTTTCAGGTTACACGAACAGAATGTTGGACAAATTAGCGTATAATGGCTGATTTCACCCCTTTAGAAAATACTCAGTTAATTGGACTGAGCTGGACTGAGTTGAATTTAAGCCTGTACCTTCTCCTCTACTGCATTGTAAGACTCTAACCATGCAGATTTTGTTACTGTAACATCAGATCAACTTTCCTAGTCCCCTTTCTTCCTCCCTCACCATCTACTTTCTGTAGCATGTTGCCTGATGAGGAGAGTTCAAAAACTTGTCCTCTTTTTTGTGTGGGTTTGGTTGGTCCAAATAGAGGTATTACCTGACTGCGTTTGGAACTGGCTCAATAAACCATGGGTTGTAATGCACAACCCATGCTTATTTTTTTTTTGTTAACTGCTGTCTGGGTCTGAAACTTATGAAGGAACTAATTATGAGTTTTGTCAAAGCAGAAAAGGCAGCCAACTTACAGCAACACACCCTCTTCTTCAACTATTCCCTGAGAGCGCCCTTGTGTTATATATTACCTAATCCACACATTGTGGGAATGTATACACAGTATACAATTGTTTACACTGTAGACATTGCAGAGCACTGCAATATTTCCTCTGGAGCTTGCGGAACTGCTGTGCCTGGGACAGGACCTCTTGTTGTGTGGCAAGATGTACTTTGTACTTGAGATTACTCTAGGTGCACTCAAGAGTCCACCAAATTGGAGGTTCAATTTGCCTGGGAGCAAAATTGCTTTGTTCCTGCCATTCTGGACACATTTGCTCAATAAGAAAAGTGCATCTGTTCCTTCCTTGTGGTACACTGTAGTTTGGATCACATGCGTTTATCTCCAAGATGGATTGTAAGGATGCATGGATGGATGGATGGATGGCCTTGCCTGGCAAGCGAAGGATCTTGGCTCCTTCAGCTCTATGATTCTAGGAATGATCCTCACCAACCCAGTGCCAAACCAGCTCGCATCAAGCATTTGAAAGCCTGCCAGTAATGGCCCTCTACATATATTGTAAAAAAGGCGATCCCATGCCAAAATAGTTAGCCATATGAGTGTGGTTTCCCTGTGGAAGACATTCCAAAACTGAACTCCAAAATTGCTTAATAAGGCAGGGAGACCGGCCCCTGCGTCAGACTGGATCAGTGTGCCGGAGGGTGGCACATTCTCCAAACGATTGAATATGACTGGCCTTCTGTGAAAGGGAGCTTGATGTAGGGAGGGGAGTAGCTCCTGTTGGGTTAGTGAAACACCAGCAAAACAGGCTAGAAGGATGAGAGCCTCTGAAACATAACAAGACTTTAATCAGCCCCACTAGGTCCTTGATGAAGACGATGAAGAATTTAAAAAGGAAACAACTTACAGATACTGGGAGATCAGGGAAAATACCGCACATGTAAACTGCAGAAGCCTGTGGTGCACATACAGAGACCACAATGTAATGTCAGGGTCAGGAAAGAGACTAAGAGCTCCATTTCAAATAAGAAACAGTGCATTAAAAGAGAAGTGTGCCAGACTCAGTGGTCTGAGTCTGTCCCCCAAGGGTTCCCTGAAAGAACACACCATTTGGCTACTGCAGGCAAGCTGTCCAGCGCGAGGAGGAGCATCTCCAGTCTCCCCAGCCCAGAGAACCACAGCCTCTATAAGCTGTCCTGCAGAAGCGGCACCACAGTTCCCTGCTGTCCCCCATCCCCACCCTCTGAAGAACGACTTACCCGTAACGACAAGCAGAAAAAGCTGCAGTGGCAGACACCGGCCCTCCATGGTTGCACACCCTGCCACTCAGCACAGCTGCCTGTTCCCTCCTATCCAGCTTGAGGTTTGAATCAGAATAACAGGAAGCGCCTCCTTTCCTCTGACAGAGCTGGTACTGAGCGCAGCAGACATGTGAAAAATGAGATTCAGGAGCAAGCTGTGCTCCCAGGGGCTCTGCTTCAGGGAGGTTCAAATCTCCTCCCTTGCTTCCACACCCATTTAGAGTCACTGGGATCTCTGTAACCCTGGGGCAGCCACCTTGGGTCACCCTGCTTTGCAGCACTCTTCACAAAGCATCCACTTTACAAGGCCTTTGTTTGGCAATTTTCTCCTCATTCTTTCTGCTTGCGTTTGAATTCCAGGAGACAGCTCCAAATGGGCAGACAGGGCAAAGGGAAGAGGGGGGAATGGCAAGCCTGCGGAAACAGACCCTGCTTCCCTGCACTCCCAGGCAAAATCAGGTAGGGGACAGAAAGTCTGGGCACTGATCTGTACAACTCCTTGGACTCACATGTGAACCAGGGTTTAAAAAATGTGTCAAACAAATGCTATATCCAAGAGTGCTCCAAAGAAACATCTGTGAAAATCAAGAAAAGAAGCTAGGAGGATTGCATGTTTAATGCAAGCAGGACCTCTTGCAGTGAGAGTTACTATTTCCTATAATTTAGGAGGAATTTACCCTGAAACAACCTCAATACTAATTGTATCTCACATCATTGTGCTCATAAATGTCACCTTCACATTACTTTTTCAACTATTTCAAAATAGCAAAGTCCTTTACGGTTTTGCTTGTGTTTGCCTCTGCTATACTAGGTTGGCTGATTATCTGCTTTCTGGTTCCTATCTAAGCAGATCAGAGGAAGCTGCCCTGGCTGATCCAGGGACTACTGGAAATTAGCAACCAGAGCGAGCGATCAGAGTGAGTGAGCGAGCGATCAGAGTGAGTGAACAGCAAGAGCTAACAAGAGATTTGTGGGGGAGGTCAGGGAGGAGGTCACTAACTTTTTTTTTTAACTTTCCCCTTAGCTGCCCCCCGCCCCATTTTTTGCTTGTAGCACATCCCCACTTACTGGTGGCACTCTGTTGTTAACCTTCAGGGAAGGCAAGTGGCTGTTAACACAACCAGCAAAGTAAAATCAAAAAGGCAGCAGAAAGAATGGACCAAGAAGTCTCCCCAGTGGTGGTGCCTGCAATGTCTGTGCAATGTTTGTTTTCTTGCCTGAGGTCAACACGGCCCACACGTGCAACAGGTGCAAGAAAGTAACCACATTGGAGGAGAAGGTGAGAGAACTAGAGCACTGAGTGTCCACCATCAAGGGAATAAGAGAAGATTAAGAGTTTTTAGACAGAGGGGTAGAAATGCAGCCACCAAGTGTAGAAGTTGAACAGCAAGCTGAAACAGAAGAGGAGAATTCTGTGGTAAGGGAAAATGAAGAGGAAATTACCTGGAAAAGGGTGACAGGAGCAGAAGCACTAGAAGACATTCTGCACCAGTGGAACTCTGGAACCAGTTTCAATGATTCAAGAATGAGACTGGAGGCAGCCTACACTGAAAGAACGCTAAGTTATCCTGTGCAACACTGAAGAAGAGGCTGAAAGTCAACCAAGTGGTGGCAAAGATTCCAAGGCTTGCAAGAACAAGAAGAGTGTTATTTGTGGGAGACTCCCTTTCGCGTGGGATGGAAACATGTATGCCAGGAAGACCTGTGGACTCAGCAGTTATGTTGTCTCCTTGGAGGACAGAAAGTGATGTAATAGAAAGATTGCCGAGGCTCATAAAGCCCACTGACATGTATCCCTTCTTTCTTATACATGTGGGAACAAATGACACTGCAACGCAGAGCATTGAAGAAATCACATCAGACTTTGAAGCTTTCGGAAGAAAAGCCAAGAACTTCAGGACACAGATAGTTTTCTCTTCAATCCTTCCAATTCTTTGAAAAGCAATAGACAGGGATAGAAAAATAGCCCAGGTGAATCCTTAGCGACAAAGGTGACACCAAGGTGAGAGATTTGGATTCTGGAGCCACAGGCTACACTTCCTGGAAGATGGACTGCTGGCAAGAGATGGGTTGCAGCTTACAAGGACTGGAAAGAAGGTGGTTGGCCACAACATGAAGAAATTACAGAAAGGCTGTAAACTGAATCGAAGGGCGGGTGCGGGGTGGTACACCTGGGTTTAACAACAGACAAAGGCTTAATGCACCACAACAGAGACAGCAGCTCAAATAGCGCCCAGTAATACTTTTCCAAAAAAAAAAGTAGGAAGAAAGCTAGAGTATAAAGTATTTGGTCTTTGATGGCTATATGCCCAGGATATGGGAAACAAGCAGTATGAACTCTTAACACAGGAGGGTGAATATGACCTGATAGAAGTAAGCAAAACTCAGTGGGATGACTCCCATGACTGGAATTCAGCAATTGAAGGATATAACTTCAGTTGAGAGCATCTAGATTAATATATATGGAACAAGTTGGAAACACAGTGGCTGGATTCTTGGTCTGACCATTCAATCAAGGAGACGACAAGGATGAAACTTTTGAAAAGCAAATCGCCAGTGTTTCAAGGAGGTGTGATGCTGTAGTTCTGGGGGACTTCAATTTCCTCAATATCTATTGGGAGACAACCTCTGCCAAACATGGCCCTTCCAAGAAATTCCTGACTACAGAAATTGGAAGAAGGAACTAGAGGAATGACTATCCTTGACTTGACTCTAATCAACAGGGAAGAACTACTGGAGGAAGTAGCAGTTACAGGAACTCCAGGGGGAAATGATCATGCCATACTTGTATTATTGATTCTGAAGGAAGCAAAAGCCAAAAGTAGGTACATGTTTATGTACCCTGGATTTTAATAAACTCAGAATAGTCATAAATAAAGTTCCATGGCAAGTGGCCCTAATCTAAAAAGGAGTCCAGGATGGCTGCGATTTTTTAAACATGGAAATTCTAAAGGTACACTTACAAACATTTTCAACAAGGAAAAAAGTAGAAGACAACAGAAGGAGCCCATGTGGCATCAGAAATAATCTGAAAACAAAAAGGACATGTATAGAAAGTGGAAGAGAGGCAAGTCTCCCAAAGAAGAATACAGAGTGGTAGCATGGAATTGCAGAGATGGCGTCAAGAAGGCTAACACTAGGAATGAACCAAGGCTAGCAAGGGATGCTTAAACAACAAAGCCTTCTTCTGAAATGTCCATAGTAAAAGTCACAGGAAAGAAATGGGGCTCACCTATTCAGTGTGGAAGGCAACATTCCTTCTTTGGCTTAGTCTTCTCCCAAGTGAGGATCCAAAGGGGAAGTGCAAGCTGAAGGAGCACAATGGAAGCTCAAGTTTGATAGGCAAAAATCAATCTAATTGGGTTGAGTGACTTCAAATCTCCAGGGCCCAATGATCTCCATCCTACGTAGAGTCATGAAGTGGTAGGAGAACTCTGAGAACCATTGGAGAAATCATGGATTACAGTAGAAGTGCCAGATGACCGAAGAAGAGTTAATGTTGACCCAGTCTTCAGGTAAGGAGAATGTGGGAACTACAATCTGACATCAATCCCTGGGAAAAATCTGGAGCCAATTATACAGCAGTCAGTCTGCAAACATCTTGAAAACATTGCTACAATTTCTAGAAGTCAACATGGATTTTTCAAGAACAAATCCTGCCAGACTAATCTGATTACATTTTTGAGTGGGTAACCTCCTTAGTAGCCTGTGGCAATGCTGTGGACATCATATATCTTGACTTCAGCCAAGCCTTTGACAAAGTACCCCATGATATTCTGATTAGCAAACACACAAAAACAACTAACAGGTGGATCTGCAAATTGGCTACAGAATTGGACTCAAAGGTTGCTCATCAATGGCACTTTCTCAGTCTAGGGAGAGGTGACAAGTGGGGTACTGCTAGTTTCAGTACTGGGCCCAGTGCTCTTCAGCATTTTTATTAATGATTTGGATGAGGAAGTGTAGGGAACAATTATCAGATTTGCAGGCAACACAAAACTGGGTGGGACAACTAATAGCCTGGAAGACAGAAGCAAGATTCAAGGTGATCTTGATAGGTTGGAATGCTGGGCTGAAAACGTCAGAATGAAATTCAACAGGGACAAATACCAAGTTCTGGTATAGGAAAAAGTAACCAAAAGCATTGTTACAAGATGAGGAAGTGCTATTTTGGGATGCATTAACACAAGTTTCACTTCCAAATCACATGAAGTACTAGTTCCTCTCTACTCAGCACTGGTTGGGCTTCACCTGGAGTACTGCATCCAGTTCTGGGCATCACAGCTTAAGAAAGATGCAGACAAGCTGGCAAGGGTTCAGAGCAGGGCAACAAGGATGATCCAGGTACTGGAAACAAAATCCTATGAGGAGAGATTGAAAGCAATGGACATGTCTAGCCTTGAGAAGAGAAGACTTGGGGGAGACACAATAGCAGTCTTCAAATTCTTGAAAGGCTGTCACAAAGAGGAAGGTCAGGATTTTTTCTTGATCATCCCAGAGTGGAGGACAGGGACTAATGAGCTCAAGTTATAGGAAACCAGGTCCTGACAATAAATTCCTGACTGTTAGAGCAGTATGACAATGGAATCAATTATATGGGGAGGTTGATGGAGGCACTAGAAGCATTCAGGATGCCACTGGTCAGCCATCTGTAAGGAATGGTGTAACTTGGAGTCCTGCACTGAGCAGGGGGCTGGACCTGAGGGCCCTCTGGCCTGTTCCAACTCTACTATGCTTTGATTTTATGATAGTGTCTCAACAGAGTTCTCCATTCTGTGAGACAGTTCACTGTTAACAGTTTACAGATGGGGCACTGAAATTATGGCACAGCAAGTTAGTATTGAATGCAGGTCTCTTAGCTGTAACCTACCAGCTTACTGAAAGAGCTCCAGTTCTCAAAGTAGTAGGCTTACAAAGATCCTATGCACATGCACGCGCATGCGCGCACACGCACACATACCATGCAATGCCAGTATATGAACATGCCTGATACCAAGGCAGATCGTTGCTTCATGTAGGCTAGTACAGTCTGCTCTGATTGTACTTGACGCTCTAGGGACTCGGCCTGAGGGCTTTTCCAACCCCTGTTGTCCAAGAATCTGTGACACTCAGCATTGAACCTGGGACCTTGTGCATGCAAACCATGTACTCTATCACATATCT